CATATTCGATGTTGTCTTATTGTCTACATTCCGAAGATTCCCGGCCGATAATTTCCGGGCCGGCCCGTATCACTAAATCAGATCTTGTGATTTTGGTACCATTCGAATCATCTCAATGAGACGATTGAATCGTCTCATTGAGATGATTCGAATGGTACCAAAATCACAAGATCTGATTACTAGATTACGGGATATCAAAAATGGATCACAAACAAATGTCGTGTAATTTTATGAATTTACGACATATACAAATTTGATAGGCAAACGCTATAATTACCTTTTGTAATTTATTGCAAACTTTCTATTGGATCTATATCAATTCAAAAATAAAATAAAAACTGTAAAATTGGGCTGTTTTAATGCGTAACGCCCACATATGCATAAAGAGGACATTTGCATTCGACATATTTGGAATGAAATGAAAAATCATTGCAGGAATTCTTTATATTTAATATAGATTAATTCGATCTGACTGCACGTCCAATTTATATTAAACTGTTAATCATTAAGGAAATCTTATTTTTACTTATACTTGATGATTATTTACTCATACGTAATAAAAGAATAAAGATTAATTTTTTGATAATGTTCAACAAATTAAATAACACAGTAGCCAGTAGTTTTATTGGTAAATACTTTAAACTTGAAAACAGTGGTGTTCCTAATGCTCGCAATACTCAATTTACCACTGAACTTCGTGCTGGATTGTCAACCTTCGTTACTATGGCCTATATCATATCCGTTAATGCATTAATCACTACTGAATCAGGTACAAAGTTCTTATCATGCTTATCATGTTAAAAATATTTACATACAGAATCATTATTAATTCTCGGGTAATTTCATCTGTAAGGTGGTCCATGTGTTTGCAATTCCGGTACCGCAGATTTATGTGTCAATGATCCTGATTATTTATCCTGTAAAACAATAGTGCAGAGAGATTTAATTACTGCGACGGCTGCAGTTTCATGTATAGCGACCGCTATTATGGGAATCTTTGCCAATTTACCATTAGCTCTTGCTCCAGGGTAAATTTATGGTTTACTGTACACTAATTTTAAATCATTATTTAATAACTGTACCTAATCAATCCTTAAAGGATGGGCATTAATGCCTATTTCACTTATGCTGTGGTTGGCTTTCATGGTTCGGGTAAAATTGCGTATGAAACTGCTGTTGCCGCTGTATTCGTTGAAGGCCTTGTCTTTCTCTTCTTATCTGTATTTGGTATTTGTCAATTGTTTGCAAAGCTTATCCCCATGTCCATAAAAATTGCAACTGGTGCTGGTATCGGTTTCTTTCTCGCCTTTATTGGATTACAAAGAAGTGCTGGCATTGCTTTAATAAGCAATAATCCTTCTACAGTAGTGACTCTTGGAGGTTGTCCTGACCAATATTATAATAAAACTACTGGCATTTGTACTAGTCACCATATGGAAAATCCAACTACTTGGCTAGGGATTTTAGGTTTCTTGATTATTGTGATCCTATTACTTTTCAGAGTAAAAGGAAGCATATTTTTGGGAATTATATTTATCAGTATCGTAAGTTGGTTTAGAAACAGTGAAGTCACCTATTTTCCTTACACGTATGTATAAAATAAAATGTTATTTGTTTTTTTTATCTTGTAAAATTGTTTAATATTATGATAAATACCATAACGAATGCTGAGACAAATATTGGGAAATTGTTCTTCACAGGGATGATGGTAATGCTCGATTTAATTTTTTTAAAAATGTCGTTGGTTTTCATGTCATAGAAAAGTAAGGATTATTTGTATAAAATTTCTGCCAATTTCCTGATTTATACTTATAAAAATATCTCATTACGTCAGGACACTAGGTGCGATGCGTTTCAATCTCGGAAGCCCAGATGTCTGGCTAGTTCTAATAACATCTCTATATGTTGACATACTGGATACGACTGGCACATTCTATTCAATGGCCAAATTTGGCAGTTATTTAAATGAAGCTGGCAATTTTGAAGGTTCTAATGCCGCATTTATAAGTAGTGCTTCTTCAATTTCAATTGGTGCTATTTTTGGCACATCTTCTGTCATTACAGTTATTGAATCAGGTTCTGGAATTGCTGAAGGTGGTCGAACTGGAATTACTTCTCTTACTGTATCATTCTTCTTTTTTATTTCGTTATTTTTTGCACCTATTTTTGTTAGCATACCTCCGTGGGCTTCTGGTCCTGTCTTAATAATTACCGGTTCTATGATGGCAAAAAGTACTAAAGATATTAATTGGAAGTATATTGGTGATTCTGTACCTAGTTTCCTGTAAGTATCCGTTTTTCTATACATCTCTTTATGCAATATTCAAAGCTTAATTACATATTTTTATTTATAGAACTATTGTGATTATGCCATTAACATATAACATCGCTTATGGTTTAATCGCCGGTATCGTTTCTTACATGGTTATTAATACTGCTGCATGGATAATAGGAAAAGTATCATTTGGGCGTATAACACTTGATAAATCAGATAAAGAGCCTTGGGGTAATTTTATGGTTGGTTCAGGTGGAGAAGGATTATTACCCGTTTGGATTGTGCCCGTTGTATATAAAATTTGTGGGGTAAAAAGAACTGCGGAAATAAAAGAATCTATCGAAATAAATGAAACGAATGAAATAAATAATTTGAATCGTGATGTTTGCTGTTGATGTTGATGGGAAAAATGAGTAAAAAAAAACTTTTTGATTTTTGTTATTAATTTCTGTACTCGTACCCAGCTAGTTGTTAAAATTCAGTGTTTGAGAAACAATTTTTTTAATAAGATCGTGAAATTGTTTGCGCTTAGGGCGTTCTCACGATTCTCAAAAACATTTTTTTTTAAGAACATTGACATTCAAAATTAGGATCTCTTATTTAAAAACATTTTATTCCTTCAAAATGTTCTCAAAAACAATCTTTAATATAATTCAATAAAAACAATATTTAAAATACATAATTCAATATAATAAACTAGTGCTCCAAAAAGATCGTTCAGGTAGAGTTTAGGGTTGACCTGAATCAAATTTGTTTGTATTTTATCGCGATTGCATAGTGATGTAAGGCTATTCCGAATTGATTCTTTGTACCAGGAACGAAGTGTATGGCTTAGTGAAGGGTGAAATGGTGTACGGGTGCAAAATCTTACGATTGATTGGTCCTCGTGATCATACTTGTCACATACTGTAACTTTTTCACCTACCATTCATCACGTACGTACATACATACCTACGAGTAATCGACTATTAATATATAAAACGAAACATATATATGAACGTCGTATCAAATTGTACTTATTGCAATTCAAACTTTAAGAAACTGATAATAATAACAAAACTGATGAAATTAATAAAGTTTACCGTTTATTCATGCAAATTGCTTTATCGATCATTGACAATTATTATCAAGTACAACGTGTTTTACAGCCTAAAAGTTCCATTTCCAAAAAAAAAAATCATTTTGCCACGACACCACTTATTTGACAATCCGTTAACACTGCGCCAGTACAATGCCTCTCATGCATACTATAATGCATTGCATATACACGTCCTATATTAGATTAGGCGTCAACTTCGCGATACGTACGTACGTACGTACATATGTACCTTCCTTGTATATTACTATATTAAATATCGCCATAATGAGTATTTATAGTCAATACACTATTGCTACTTAATTACATATTTTTCCTAAATAATACTACGTTCCATCCACAACATCATGCGGCATATTTGGTAATTCTTTCAACACACTCGTCACTGCGCCTTCATCCATTCATCACGTACGTACGTACGTACGTACGTATATATTGATATCAGATATCATATATCTAATATGTAATATCACATGTTAAAAAAATCTTGCCAAAACCTAAACTGATCTTAATATAATTCTGAACTCTACCCGTTCCTGGTTTCAGCGCGACAACGTCGCGCAGCTACCTAATTGATAATAGATGATCTAAGTTAGAATTATAATAGAGTTAAGGCTGTGTTATATGAGTTATAGCTCTTAATTTGATTCATGAGCAATGAGCAATTCCACCTGATTTTAATAGTTGATCTGTAGATCACTAAATTATATTTATCGTACGGCCATGTTGTTACTATCGTTCCAAATTTGGTTTATATTTGTACCGCTTATTCACATTATTCATATTATTCATATTATTCATATTAATATTTGCATTCCTTTTCATTTATTAATAATACTATAAATAACTGATATCACTAAAAAATTCTACATGTAAATGCTGATTAAATATGCTAAAACGTTGGTTTGATGCACGTTATTTATTTAATATGGGCTAGGTGCTGAGAAAAGACGAAATTAACAATTTTTTCAAAGGATATTTTTTTTACATAAATCAATTTAGAATAGAATTAGAATCATTTTTCACTTAAGACACAAAAGTAATTGTATTAATAAACTTTGTGGTATGGCTCTTTAAAGCTTGCATTTTCTTATGATTTATTATAAGATTTACAACATAATTGATTTTCCGAAGATCTTTTTTTTTGTCAATTTCGTCCTTTTCTCAGCACCTAGCCCATATAATCAGATGTATACGATAATAACAACTGCCGACGATAATAACGTCATCGTAATGTATGACGCCAAAAAATCACCCATACAATAACTATTAATTATTAGCTACAAATGAGTGGGTGCGTAATTCTGAAATTGATGATGATTTGAAAAATTTATTGATCAAAAATGAGTATCAGTTATCTTGGATTTTTTATGATGAATTTAAGAAGTTTAAAGAGATAGGTAAAGGCGGATTTGCAACTGTATATTATGCTATATGGTATGATAAAAGTCAAAACGTATACGTACCTGTTGCACTTAGATTACTTCATAATTCAAATAATTATCATGAGGAATTTATAAGAAAGGTAATTTTTATATTTTAATTATACTAAATATAATTCATCATTGATTATTTATATTAATAATTTAAAATATATTTCACTCTAATAATAAGTTAAAAGCATACTGTGATATCGGCCTCAAAGATCCAACTTTGTTAAAATGCTTTGGTATATCAAAAGACAAAGTTTCTAAAGATTATATCCTTGTAATGATGCATGCTCCAAATGGCAATTTGCGCAAAAATCTGCAAACTATACCACAAATTAATTGGATCGATAAATTAAGTTTGCTATAATCTATTGCATCGGATCTTCAGATAATACATTCTCATGATCTTATTCATCGGGATTTACATAGTGGAAATATACTACTACATAGCTTAAAAAGCGCTTACATTGCTGATTTAGGACTTTCAATGACAACTAATATTGCACTGAAATCAAATCCTGATGGTATTTTTGATTGTGCTGTGGTATTTTACCATACATTTCACCTGAAGTTTTGATCAACAAACAATATACTAAAGCATATGATATTTATTGATTTGGTATAATCATGTAGGAAATTTTATATGGAAAACCTGTATCTTACGATCAACAATTTGCCACATCAAAACTTGGGTTTTAGTGTATTTTCACGATTTAAGACCTTCTGTTAACGAAGAAGCACCACGATGTTACGTAAACCTTATGAGTATATGTTGGGACAAATATCCAGAGAAACGTCCATCATCAAAAGATCTTTATAAAATTTTTAAGAAATGGCAAAGGTAATGAAAGCGTTTTGTCTGAACTAGATAAGTCTAAAACAGTACTTGAGAATATTTAGGCAATTAACATTATATATAATAATAAATTTTTAAAATAATTTAAGTTGTAAACTATAATTTATTTTCTAGACTCAAGTAAATGATATGATTTTTGGATAGATGTAAACATGATTTAAACTTGTTTATTAAACAAAAATATAATAAAGAAAAATAAAACAACAACTAGAGGTCTGCAACCCAGGCTTGTGTTTATGTTTACTAAAAGATCTGGGCATAGGCATAGGCATAAAAGCTCAGGCACAGGCATGGGTATAGGTATAAAAACTTAGGCAAAGATATGGGCACAGACATAAAATTTTGGCATGGGCACAGGTATAGATACAAAGAATTTGGTACAGACACAGACATGGGTACAAAAATTTGGCATGGGCATAGATATAAGCATAAAATATCTGATATGAACATGGACATAGGTATAAAAAACTTGGGTATAGGCATGAGCACAAGTACAAAAATTTGGCATAGGCATGGGTATACTATTCCAAAAATCTTGAAGATTATGATCCTGACTATAACAGGATCCTGACAGTTTAAAATTCAAAAATGATTAAGATCCTAAATAGTCAAAATTCTGAATAATCACAATTCTGATATTTATAAAAAAAATAGCAAATGATTTGTTGACCAATTCGATTAAGATTGTAATTAATCAAGTTGATATATATAACTTAAGACCTGGTAACTAATATTAGGGAAATTTACAAATAAGAGCCTGAAAAGTAAAAATAATTGCCCAAATCAAAAATAATTAGATATATATAAGGGCCTAAATCTAGTGATGGCTGAAAAACATGATCACAGAATTACTATGCCACAAAATATTTTGCAAAATTGCAATTATAAAATTATTAATTGTTTATTAGAAGTATTTAGAGTTATATATATAACGATTATTAGATAAAAGAATAAATGAAGCATTGCTTATAATTATTTTTGCTTAAAATAGAACAATTATTTATAAGATGAAGAAGTTTAACAGAATAGCTCTCTGGAGCTAAATGAGCATCTTCCATATTAGTAAATGTCATACCAATTTGCAATGCTTTATTTGACATCATAGTGGCTTGTTATAAAATAAGCAATTTTATACAAATTTATTAAATTTATTTAATTGAACCTAGCTGCCGCACCAATTTTGTCACGGATGATTCTTGATTTTGATTGGCTATGAGCGACGATCAATAATT